GCCAGCTAATCATGGTTGTGGGTTCAGGACCTCAGCCTCCACCCAGCATATGGATGTACCTTCAGATCTGGCCTCTGTGGGAGGAGTTACTGGTTTTCATGATGATCTGTTTCTGATCTCCTCTCCCCAGTCAGAAATATGCATGATAGGAGGTGGGACCTATCCTGGAGAGGCAGGCAGGTCATCTAGGAGCACTCCTTTTATGGGTGTTAGTGATAAGACAGCGAGAGTACACCAGTATCAGCAACAAGCTGCATCTAGTTCCTCATCCTGTCTCAGCCCCTCTCGCTCCTGGGTCGTGTCTTCAGTGGACACAGTTGTTACCCCACCTAGCAAAACCCCCGCAAACCAAGGAAGTTTTGGTCAACCCTCCTCCCTCGCCTACCACAACCGCAGCAACAACAATGCCCACAACCTCCTCCACGACAATGAGCTTGACTACTATGAGGTGCTGCCAGGCAACACTGCTCAGGGTGAAGGCTCGGTGCAGGCTGCCGGTCAGAAAACCTCCTACCTGGACGTGAAGCTGGCTCAAATGCTTCCAGTGACCCATAGCTGCTCAGACAGGCCGACGGAGAGAAAGACAGGACCCACCTCTCCTGTAAAACCAAAAAGACCCTTTGTCGAGTCCAATGTATAAAGAAAATATCAAGTCAGAGATGGGGACGAAGGGTTAATTAAGAGTGGTTCAAAAGAAGTCATTGTACCGACATATTCAGTTTCATTAAAGCTATGGGATTCTTAAAGCTGGGCTCTGGTTGAAACAAACTAGTTTGTTTTACGTTCATATGATGCATAGTTCATACAAAGTGGGCATGATTGCCAGGTTGTCTTTGAGAAAGAGAAGTGCTTTGTTTGAAGCATACCCACTTCTTAAGACATTAAACATACAAGTAACATATGGAACATATTGGCTGTTAATTGTGAAGTCTGTGACTTAACAAGCCAGAGACAAAAAAAGAAAGCAAAGTCCAAGCAAAGGAGAGAAAGACACAAGTTATGAAGAACTTGGTCTGTTGCTCTAAAACCAGTGACAAGTCTTGGTTTCGTAAAGCACAACAAGAAACCTGAAGATTTAAACGCAAAAAACACAACAAAAGATGCCAACTGTCACTGAAAAATCCTTCTATTTCATTTCAGTCCATTTCAACATTGTCTCTGGATGTCCATAATGCACCGCTCTAGAGTTTTTCTGTCGAGTTCACATTTATGACTCTAGATGGTGACATCCATCCTTTTCAAGCTTGAAGCGTTCAAATGACTAATGACTGGAAACCGGGAACAGTCACTGTTAACATCCATACTCTAAAACCTGTGCCAGACACATGCTGACCAATGACCCAGTCCTAAGCCATAGTTTGAAAAGCTAGGATGATGCTGTCATTGAGTGTGTACTTACTTGCTGTATATAAAACAAGCCTGATATTTATCTTTTTTAAGTTATATTTGAATTGAACTGTATAAATAGTTACTTTTAAAATTGTGTATTCCTTTTGAATTTGCTTTTTGTCTTTTTTTGAGTGTTTTTCATCCAAAACAGAGAAATGGAAACCACCTTTTCAAAGAGACAAAACAGGAGAAGTTTTTCACTGAAGTTCAGCTCTGCTCAGTTCTGGCTCTGTTCTTGCTTGAGACTGCATCACTCTGCAGTGAACCTCCTGGAGAAATTCATTTTAAGATTTTTGGATCTTTTTTGCTTCAGGTAGATTTTTTTTGTTTTGTTTTGTTTTTTTCTATGGACTTTTGTATTCTGGAACCCTATTGGTCTTAATATGTGCAAAGCCTAACAATCCCAACTGATTTACCAAGGCCCTTTTATTACTCATTGTTATGGAAACATACTAGCCTACTTACACGTCCCATAAACTGGTGTTTGGCTCAATAAAAAAAAAAGCCTACTGACTGTGCGCTAAACCCATCCCCTGAAAAGCGATTATCCACTTTAGCAACTGTAACAAAGCATGGTGTGGCCTATCAAGGTATGGATTTGTCAAACTGTAGTAAAACCAATCCTCTGCATTTAAAGAACTGTCTTTTTGTTTTAGCTTTTTCAAAACCAAAAACACCATAGCAAATGTTTAAATAGATGAAACCATGTTTTATCTACTCTGACTTAGGCTACGGTCATTAGCCTGCCTAGCTTACAAGCTGCAGCAGTAGCAAGTTACCACTTGAAGCAGTGTTGTATGTACATTTTCCAAACACTATTTTAGCCTCACACTGAATATTTTGTCATGCTAAAGTGAAATAAGGTTTAAAAATAAAATCATAAGCAGCCACACAGAGTTATGTTAGAATAAAATAAATGTTTTCCTACCATACTTAATATACAATGACCAAATACAGTGGTTCTACAGGATACTGCAATACAAGAACAATGCCATTTGTTTACACGTTTTCTATGAGTCCAGTGGGGATGCTAATAACGTTTGCCTCCATTTTTGTAGCACAGTAGCATATACATTATGCAGCCATCAAGTGCATACTTATGTCCTCTTTTTACAGGAATCTCATTTTAAAACTATTCTATTGGAAACATTGTCAACCACATATGGCATTCTCAACTGCAGATAAAGTATGCCAGCAAACACTGACATGTCAGAAGGCAAAAGTAGCAGTTGACAACTAAAATTTTGAATCTTCTGTTTGAGATCAAGCACCAATTGTGTTATTGAATGCCAGCTGTGAGACAACCTGACAGGCTTACGGTAGCAAACTTAACAGGGGACTGTCAGCCAGTTCTGGGGCTGATTTTCCAGGGGGTGTGACTAACAAAATGGGACAAAACTTTTTTTTCATTTTTTAAACTGTATTTTAAGCACATGAATGCCTTTTTTTTGTACATTTCATGTTTCTAATGAATCAGCAGCTTAGTGAAACCATTGACTTCTGACCTCTTTGTCCTGGTACAGTCTCTCTGACCACTGCCCTTATTTCCTGCCACTGCTCAGGATCCTCCAGCGGTAAAAAGATATGGTAGCAATAAATCATTCTGGCTCACGAGCCATTTTCACAGTCTGGCTTCTAGAAAATGGTATGTAATTCTGTCCATTTAGCATAATTAGGTACACTATTAGCAAGTTGACTGAATGTTCAAGACTAGTTTAAAAATGATGGCAACAGCTTGTCATAGTACAACAGTGTTTCTTTAAATCCTTGATGAGCCACTCGACAGATGTGTAGTCTGTCAGTAAAACTACGTATGTATGTTTAAATCCCAACTGTGGGGTCTTAAGCCCCAAGTTTTAAACACCGTGTTAGAAAGGAGCAAGGTCAGTGAGGTCCCTCTCAGGGGGTTTACTGCAGGCTATTTCTTGGTATGTACGATAATATTTAAAACCCAGGACAGTTACATTAATATTAAACATTTAAAGCAACATGTTTTGATCAGCTCATGTGAACTTGACTGCTGAGCTAACATTACAAAGAGGAATAAAGATCTATCAAAGACACATGTAAGTCTCTTGTTTGCTCTGGTTCTCGTGGCATGTTTTTACTTGGCTGCTATCCAGATGGTTTTCAAGCAACTTTGTGTCAGTTTCCAATAAATTGGTCCTTCATCTTGTCTGAATAATAGAAGACTGAGTGGGGAAGGCTCAGACAAGCTAGTAACTTAAAGATAGAAGACTGAGTGGGGAAGGCTCAGAAAAGCTAGTAACTTACAAAATTACCAAAACCAAATTATAACTACAATTACAGCTTTTCTCTTATTCTGTGACATAAGACGCAACTGTGGGGTCAATTTTGTCTAATAAACACATAGAAGTGTGGAATCACAAACTGCAACCCAAACCCGAGACTGTCATTCAGAAATATGATACAGAACAATAATATGGAATGCAAAGTAATGTGATTGCTTCTTAAATCTCAGCTTGTGTTGCCTGTGTTTTGCTTTGCATTTCTTCTTTTGGTTAGCAAGTCATAGTTGTCTTTTCCCCATAATTTTTTTTTTTTTTTTTTACATTTCTCAGGTTGAATTTGTGCTTCTCTGTTTTTCTAAGTCAGTACCAGAAACAGACAAATGTTCCAGGAGCAAGGATGCTTTTCTTTTGGTCTGTTAAACAGTCGTATCTTACAAGGAAGTGACCTCAGAACACAAGAGGGCTGAACCGTGAATGTATTAAGGAGAACTGGATCCCGAGCTTACAGATAGTAGCCAGTCACTGCACTTCTGGGTTTGCAGGGTAAAATGATGTTACAAATTGATTGGTAATGCAGATGTGCAGCCCACTGCACACACGCAAACAGAACATTTTTCAAGTCTCAGAAAACGTTTTACAAACATAAAACCCCCCAAGGATTAAAAATTCATAATACAAAGAGTAATGGTAATTGATCTGGTTTGCCATTGTGGTCTGTAAGGGAGATGGA